ATCCAACCAGCCAATAAAATAGCAGCATTTAGACATAGAGAAGAAAAAAGTTCAAAGCAAAACAAGTAAGACATTTTAAGTCACTTTTGATAAAAAAAATAAAGGATATTTAAATGATTTTAAATGTACACTCCACATTTATATTTGTATCTCATTAAAAGTAGCGCGTCAAAAAATATTCATATCTTATTAAACATTCAATTTAAAAACAATTTCTGTTTCACTTGTAGGGTTCAGCTGATAAGGAGTGTGCATCATTTTGGGCTGGGATGTATTAGATTAGTGTGCAATATTGTGTAGTCATGTAATTACCTCAATCTTTCCATTTTTCCATTTATGCAAAATAAAGTCAAAGCTTTGTTAATTTTGTTTGTCTGCGTGACTAGGTGCTTTGGAAAATGATGTTTTCCTCATATAAATGCATCTCAGGACTCTAAATTGCTCAAGAAAATGGATGGAATTTCCAAGACCAGACATTTTAACTTAAAACACTTCCACCCCTTATAAACAATTGATTCAAAGAGTTTTTATTTTTATTTTTATTGCTAGGTTCATTAAATCAGTGTAAAACTCAATTATTCATTTCAAGAACTGGAAATGATCAAACAGCATGACAGGAAGGTTAGTACAGATGGACACCAGGTGGACGCAACAGACGTTTTCCGTTATGTTAAACCAGAAATAAAAATGGATTCTGAGTTTGTCACACCATAGACAGATGTGCTCTTGTTCAACCAGCCAAAACTAGATGATAAAAAAATTCTAAAATAATAATATCAGATTTTAGTATAATAAAATAATTATCAATCTCCTCTTGCAGATTCTCATAAAAACATCGCTGACTGAGAGATCTAAGCCTGGTCTTAATAAACTGCATGAGAAATCAGAACAATGCATCAGTTGGAGAAATTAAATAATTGAGTCATCCACTAGCTGCAAACCTTTGCAAAAGCATTCACACTTCTTAAACATTTTCAATTTTTTGACTATATCCATATAAGACCATAAAGAATTTGAAAAGTGATGAACATTTGACCCAGTTTATCCCTCAACAAAGTCCAGTTGACCTATTTACCTTCAGATGTTATCTAGCAAGAGTGTAATTTACTCTCAGAATAAACAATAATATTTGAAAATTAGGGAACAAACAGCTTGTGACGTCCCAAGCTTTGTGCAGTCCATCATCTGAATATAGAAAAAGTGTGACACTGTATTTATTTTTTATTAAAACCCTTTGTCTTTGTTTCTCAGGTTCTGCCTAGATTTGGATCCCAAAACTCATAATACAATAAATTATGACAAACTTCAAGGCTATTTTGCAAGGTATTGTTATGTAAGATTGTTTATTAGAAACATAATGAATGAAAAAAGCAGCAAAAGTTCAAAGCAAACATTGAAAGGAAGAAATTCAGAAAGCAAGTAGAACTGTTGATGGAAACCACGTTGGACGATAGTAAGATATTCTTTCTTTTTGGAAGCAGAATAACAAAAACTGCTCACTTTTTGTGTAGTTTATGGCAGCTGGTTACTGACAGATTTACAACACAACACTTTGTTTTCTTCAACTCGTGATCTTATAATCTTGTTGGTACGGAAATATTCCACTTCCTGTGTTTAATTTTGCTTTGATTTGAACAGAAAGAGATCCATCTTGCTTTTCTCATTAAGTGTGAGAGGATTACACAGACCCCCCCAGTTTCATTCATCTTGTTTCCAGTCACAACTGAGACTCTTTAGTATGAGTCAAACATGAATGCATTTCAGCTGTAACTGCTAAAAAGATTGCTCTATGTATGATTTGGAACTCCAACTTGTATCCATTTGTTCTTGTTTACTGTGGTTTTAAACTGGGTTCATGGATTATGTTTGCTGTAGATTTGTGACACCATAAAATCGTGTTTTTGTCTCACTCTGCCACGGAGTGATTATTTGCTGACATTAAATATGACGTCAAGGCTCTTGTCATCTTCTTTGTGTTGAAGTCTTGTAAACAACGTCGCCCTTCCAAGCCAAGCATTCTCGAAAGAGTGTTTTTCATCAGCAGTTTACATTACACGCATGGCGGATTGTGGTTCTCCTACTGCTTCCCTTGAGTGGACAAAATGAAAAGAAACGCTGATCTCAGGATGTTTTCCTGGTTCTTTAAGTTTAACGTGGAAGAGAAGAGGCAACAGTAAAGAGAAGTCTGGCCTCAGTGTATTTAAAAAAAAAACGAAAACCTTGTTTGTGTTAAAAAAAGAGCGTTTGAATTGAGGTTGACTGAGCGTAGAAACCACTTTCTGTTATACTTTGAAGCGTCCATAATAACCCTGAAGAGAGCATGCATCACTTCCAAATGTAAAGAAACACTGCAATCTTTTATGGGTTCTTTTTGCCTTGTGTGTCAATCGGGTCAATGTTGTTGCCCAAGCAGATGTTTTAAATGCTCGTTTACCATCCTGTGACTCAGATGTGCTGTCGCAGTCGGACCACAACAAAGTTTCATCACAGGCTGATTCTAACAAGCTGCTGTAGTGGCTGTGGACGTCACGGCGGTAATCACGGCACCCTTCTGGCTTTCAGCTACATCTTTGATGGATTCATCCAAACAAGATCCGCTGTATTTTTTTATATTTTATTATGTGCAGTAAATCTGTCACAAAAGGTCAGTCAGTTCTTCATGCTAACCGTTCACAGATTTTGAATACAATGCACTTTTGCAAATAATCTCTGAATCAGAGCCATACAGTCACCAACATCAATCACATTGTCTCCGGTTCATTTTGCATTTAAAATCTGGCGGGTTGGTTAAGCACCCCAAACCACAAGTGATTCACAAAATTCTAAAAAGTCATCAAAAATTATTACAAGTCAAAGAAATGTAGGGGAAGAATAAAGCATCTTTGGCTTCTTCTCATGGAAATCAACTTCCTCTTTATATGAGACTAGCTCAGCGAATTCTCAAGACCCTCTGAAGATAATTTAATGTCAGCTTTAAAAAAATATATGCCCATCAAATAAACGTTTTCAGAAACCATGTGTTCAGCAAGTCCTGTTCAGACCTGAAGCAGGACCTATGAGGTATTCAACGCCTGGTACGAACTGGTTCCTAAACAACAAAAAACCCAATTAAAGCCTCGTTCTTTGCAAAGTTCTTTATCATTTATAAAACATTTGTTAATCACTTTATGTTATGTGTCCTGATAGACAAAAATAATAAAAACATCATTCAGAAAGTTATTTAGCTTTTAATTCTTGTGACTTTTTTTTTAAATCTCACTTTTTGGAAGAAAAATATAAAGGAATGATAGCTGACTTGCAAACAAGCAGGACTGCAGAAATATTATCTTCTTGTAAATGAGGGTCTAAATTAAATGACCAGATGCTGAAGGAGATCGCTGTATGGGAACGCATAGATCTCTCTACGGGTGAGAACAAAGATTGTGGAGCACTGCAAAGTTTTGCAGCTGATTGAATGTCTAATTCAAGCCTGATGTAGTAATAAAACTCATGGGGATCATCCCCACCTGTTAAGCACTAAAACAGCTGGTTGCCACAGAGACTAAATGCAGCTTGGCAGACAGTCCTTACTGCTACCAAGCAGTAAGATAAAGGGGGCGCTATACAAGAGAAATATAATTAGTTAAAAAAATATACTATATTTCAGATGAATTGTATTAGTTTTAATTTTATACCTTCCCATTTTCCAAGTTTTCCTTTTCGTTTTTTTCATAAATGTTTTTTTTTTCATCATAAACTATTTATTAACTTCTGATTTATTAAAAACGCAAAACAAGTAAATAATTTGACAAGTTTGGGTACTTTAAACATGAGTTATCGAGCTTAAATACCTCTCAGTTGGTCAGATCTTCCTGTTATTGCAACCATTTTCATTGTATTTTCTGGTTTACTTTTTTGGTTTTCTCTTGGACTTAAGGTTTTAACCTTTCCTTTTCTTTTAGTAAAAGTTTATTTTCATCCGTCTGCTTCCGGCCGCCGACATAAATCTAGATTCTGCTCTTCAATCCTCTTCCTGAAAGTGCTTGAAGTCCCTTATTGAGATCTGCCTCACACTTTAAAAAGGCCTTACAGGACTTCATTTTACAATGAGTTGAAACTTAAGCAAAGAGCGTCTAATCTCCAGCTAACAATTGCCTAATTTTAAGGCAAAGTAAGATAATATTGGGTTTATACAGTACTTCTTCATGCTATTCAGAAAGTTGTTGTTCCTGTAAATTCATAGTAAATTACATTTTTGTGTGTAATTCAATATTTCTGTTGTGGAGCATGGATTGCGTTAAATCCAATTAATTACATTTAATAACTGTCCTGTGCTTTTTCTTTTGTACTCCTGTTTCTTCTTTAAATAAACCTTAAACCAAATGCATCAGTCAATTTGACATGATTTTCTTAAATGGGATTGATTACTTATGCAGAAACCAAGCTGTGGTTTATAAGAAATAGTATACTTTAGGTTTGGTTTTTGGGTTTCCTATAAACCTTTGAGGCTTCGCTGTGTTTGCACTTTGTGACTGATGAATAAGTTGAGAGTAGCACGAACAGCTAGAGGCTAAAATGAAAGCCACTTTGCTGTGCAAGGAGAACTATTCAAATTTTAAAAAACATCCATCTGGTTGTCATTTCTTCTTGTGGTGAAATATTGCTCCATTTCTAGAAAGAGGTGGATCAGAGGAATCAAAGTGGATTTGTTCACATTTGGTTCCTCTGGACCTTAGAATTTGTTTCTCTCGTCAACATCATGTACATGTTGGACTGCACATCTATTTCGGCTTGTTCCGCATTATCCTTGTTTACTGTACAAATTGCTGACTCATCATTTTACACTCAAAATTCTCAAATGGAAGAATTTTACTGAAACTAAGAGCGTTTTCACCCCTGCTGGTGTGGTGGACTCGGAACCTTTCGAAAAACCTGTTCCATCCCTCGCCTGTGGTGGCGCTGCATAAAGAAATAACGAAGGAAACGACAGAAGAAGACACTGAGCGCTACTTCCGTCCTCACAAAACGTAAACATAAACGGAGAGGCGTCACATGCTACTTTGCGGGAACCTAGAGTGATTTCCTTGAATTTATAAGGTATTTTCCACAAAACTAACAAGTTATATTATAAGGATACTTTCAAAGAACTTACAGTATTTTTTTCTGGACTCTAGAAAGTGAAATGTACTTTCTACAACTGACAAAAAACACTGTCAGTTGGCAGAGTTTGTAGTGAGTAGTTACATTTAGTGAGTTACATTTATTTGAGTCAACTTTTGGGGAAAAAAGAAAAAGAAAAAAACCTTTAGGAGTATTTTTACTATGCTGTACTTTTTACTTGAGTAATTTTATTACGAAGAATTGCTTCTCTTACTTGAGTAAAATTTGTTTTTCTACCCACTCTAACTTCACTGAATGAAGAGCAAACATGTTTTAACTAAAGAGTCACCAGACACAGACACATTTAGTTAGTCCTGTATTCAAAGAAGTAAAGACTTGTCTGGTTTTGTTATTTCTTAATTATAATATTTACATGAATGATTTCCATTTTAGTCTTTAAATCACCAATATTTCCACTTTTATGTTTTGATCCATTTGATTGTATAATTTTAAAATATTAATTTATGTTTTGAACAAGTTTTTTTTTTTTTTGCCAAATACTTTTTTTAATCTTACTTTAGTAATTTCTTGGACAGCTCCTTTTTACATAAAGTAGTAGTCGGTAGTGTTACTTGTACTTAAATACAATTTTTGGGTGCACTGTTCGGCTCTGTCGGTTGGACACATTTTTCGAAGATGATCAGATAAGACGGATCTACCACCAGTGAAATTGGTGTGTTAATTTAACTTTGTTAATTTTAACTTTTTTTAACTTTGTAAATCTTTGTCCAGATTTCCAAAGTTAAATTTAAGTGCTCATTGTTTACAGACCAGTTGTGAGAGACGGCTTTTGATGAGCATAAAAAGAAACTGTCCAATCCACATCTCTTCTTCTGCATCTGTTTAAATGTTCCCCTTTTTTAATCTTTTACAGAGGATAAAGCTGAATGATGTTACAATAAACATTCCAGAGGGAGTCACCCACCCGGTGCATAATTAGAGACCCAGGAGGCTGAGTAAGATAGATGACTGCAGTGTGTGTCAGTGGAGTTGGAGGGGGTCGTGCCATTCCAGCGGCTGCTGGTTAAATGCAGGTGGCTGGGTGTGCTCGTCAGCTTTTATCTTGGCTTTGAACACAGGTAAGCTCAGGGGCCTGCACAGGTGTGTGTGTGTAGGGGCTGAAAGTTCAGAGATGGTGGCGGCAGTTACGGTAGAAAAAGGGCCAGAGGCAGCGATTTGTCAAGATGAGCAGCGACTGCTGGGGTCACCGAGTGACACGGTGGTGGCTATGAAACCACAAATGATCTGCATCATATAGACACTGATGTGGCCATTCAGAGGGTGAACAGACTTCAAGCAGATGCTTTGGTTCAGTAATCACTTTGACTCACTATGTTTCCCCGTAGAAGAAGACACAAGAACTTCTGAGTCATTGTGTCTGCCAAGGTGTTATGGTTTTAATTAATATAATGAGACAAGTGATTATTTTGGCAAAGGAGAAAATTATTCTGGCATCACACAGGGACTTCATTTCAAAGACATTTCAAAGACAGAGAGGAAATCTGTCTTTCACATAACTGCTAAAAGGAGAGAAAACTCAAATGTTTTTTTTCTTTGAGTGAAAAATCACAGCCCCTTTTTTCATTACAGCAGCATTAAAAACAGCATCTGTCACCAGCTGAATATTGAGATTTTCACATGAAGTTTAGAGGACAAACAGTTTTTCCACCACCATTTGCTGCCCCATTGCATTTTAAACAGTCTTACTTTGCTCAGATGTGGTATTTTACCACAAGTTTCTAACTGTAGCTTGCTGAAAGTTTGGCCCATTCCTCCTGACCGAACCAGTGTAACTGATTCAGGTTTATAGGCTGCCTTGCTCAGACACACATGCACAATTTTTTATGAGACTGAGATTAGGGCTTTGTGGTAGGCATTTAAAAACTTGACTTTGTTGTCCCAAGGCCTTTTGTAACTAAGTAGATGGTATGCTTCAAGTCATTGTCCATTTGGAAAACCCATTTGGATAAAATCGAACTTTCTGGATGAAATCTTGAGATGTTGCTTCAGTTTTTCCGTGTACTTCACTCATGATGCCATCTGCACCACTCCACATCATGATGCTGCCACCCTGTAGACCACAGAATCTGTCTTTATGGATTAAATCCTGAGTGCATTTTTTAACTGTAATCTGCTTTTTAGATCTGAATTTCAATTCACTGCGAATAAAACTTTAGTTTCATTTCTGGGGAACAAAACTCTTTTATCTGTATGAACCTCAGCAGGATATTCCTACGCCGTTAAAATTTGTAAAAATAGTTGGAGCAAATTAACAAGACACCTTCAGGCATCATAAAACTCATTGGACCCCTGACACTGCATTGGGTAAAAATACAGAAGAGGGACTGTATTATGAAATTATGAATGCAAAATTATGTTGTGGCTAAAAAAAAACATGTTCTTTTTATTTCAAATTCGCTGATTATAAGCATAAAGGTGCTTGAATCAAAGATTTTATGGACATTAAAAGAATTCCAGTCAGATCCAACTCACGAGTTCTGTTATGATTAAAGCAGCTAAAAATCTGTTAAAGCCTTTAGTTGCCTGTGCAACTAAAAATGTTTTTTATGTTGGGTATTTCAATGGTTTTGTTATCATGGCTATTTGTTTCTTTACAATAACATCATTGAGTCTTTTGGCTGTATGTTCAGAGTATATTTGTCACTGGTCAAACCATTTAGACCCAGACCCCCTCCAAACATGATGTAATATTACAGATCACAGATAATTAAAACATAAATATCCATCGATAAAAAGAAACCCATCAAACTCACCTCTGCTCTTTATGTGCTGCCATAAAACCGTCACCAGAGCATCAAAAAGTTTGGTTATTGTTAACCTAATTGGAGTTTTTGAGAATAAGAGAGATAAACTCTGAACACAGACTGTAAATGTAAAATTAATGCTTACCATTTCCTAAATCAGGGACAGGAAAAATAGCAAGCAAACTTTAAAACTGCCAAACAATTTAGAGAATGATCATGCATTCATTGACACATTAAAAAATATATTACATGACACTAAATGTCATTACAATACTTACTTTTTTTGCTGCCAAGCTGAAATGCTTCTCTCAAAATACATACGAATTTTCACGTCATCAAAAGCAACATAAAATGTGTTCAAATAAAGACATAGTGGCTTGTGAGGCTTAAATAAATATGAGAAATCTTTCTCAAGGTTTTTTCATTGTGATGTGACGTTTATTTAGTACAGCTTGTCGACAAGTAGATCTTTATAGGGAGCGTTTAAAGTATGGTTTAAGTCGATCAAAAACTAATACTTTGCAGAATCTCTTTCTGATTCAATTTCATAATTTAGACAATAGGGAAAATATGAAGCCACAATGACAAAAAAAAAAAAACAACAACATGGTTTTCCTAAACTGATGAAGGGAATACAAGACTGAAACAACTTTGCCAAGAGATCAGTAGTAACACTGAAACATCTGACGCAATATCCAACAAGTACTCGTTGTGCTCGTTATGTGACAACAATCTCCTGTTTTCTTTATAGGTTTTTTGCTGAAGTAGATGAAAACGGTTCCAAGTACAACATGTTTGAACCGTTAGAAGCAGAAGATAAAGAGGGATTTTAACTTTCAAATCCTTATGGAGTCCAAATCAATAAAAGAATGGCTTTCACTGAAATAAATTAAAAGTTTTGGAATGGCCTATCCAAAGTAGAAACCTAAATCCAATGTGCAAGGAGGACTATTGACAAGAAACATGTTCATGGTCTGATCGACTTAAAAAATTTTGGAACGGCAAAGTAGCTAAATATTTCCAAGTCAAGATGTCGGATGCTGATAGACAAATCCAGAAATTTAATTTAAAGCTGGTTTAACAAAGTTATCAGTTTAACTTTGTGCATATCTATATCATCGGACTGGTTTTGATTTTTTAAATTTGCCTTCATGATAATCTTTTTGATTTTCTCCATAAAAATGTTATACTTAACAGAGGTTTGTAAACTTTGTCCATCCATTGTCATCTGAAATGGATGGACAAACCTCAAGTATGTTTAAGTTCTGGTCCAAATGTGTCATAAACCACGCCCCCTTTTTATCCTCATTGATTGGTTAGTCTGTGTTTGATTGCAAACTGTTTGAAAAATGATTCATAATGAAGTCTAACCACCACATGCTCTTTGCTTTCCATCTTAATATATGTACTTTTTTAAGTTTGCCAATGAATTGTTAGTTTTTTGTGCTCTATAATGCTGAAAACATAACTGGAAGGAGACAATAATTCTACCTTTAAAATAATTTTAAAAAAAAGTAGGAGTAAACTTTCAGGCTGCACTCTTGTTATTACCAGAGAGAATAAAGACGTATCATGGGACACATTCTGAATTTGTGAAGTCTAAGTTTCTGGGTTAACCTATTAGCCACACATGCAGAATCTCTCATTGGAACAACAAGTATCTGAATTCCCAGATACTTTCTGAATCATCCTACCTGTGCATTCCCATCACAATCTTCAGCCTTAACCTTGCATATCACAGCAGGGAGGATTCACTAATAGAATTAAATTGCACACACCCTGCAAAGAAATATATGCATGTGAAAGAAATGTTGCATCTTATTTATTCACCTTTTGAGTAAAGCTGCCAAACTGTCAGAGTCGGAATGCTATGTGTTGAAGTGCCAAGGTTTATCTGGAGAGAGAAAAAAGAAAAGAAGAAAATTACGTTAACTCCGGCGGACCACAAGGAATGTGGCCAAGCAGCATGTACAGACAAGCACAAGGAGTGAACACACACATACACACCCACGCATGCTCACGCACATACACAGGGAAAGAAAATGAGTCAAAGGAGACAAAGGAAGCCTATCATGCTGCAAAGCATTTTTAAATGGACACACAGTAGTTTATATTCATTCTGGCCCACAGTCTCCTCTTTGTGACGACAGACCCATTTGCACACACTTAATCCCTCCCGTAAACAGCGAATACAGCAGCAGAAGAAGAAGAACTCATCTCCATATTAAGTCCAAGAATAAACAAACAAAAAAAAAAATCTGACAAGTTAAAGAAGCACATACGCGATTATTTTCATTGTTGTCTTTTGTCTAAAAATTGTCCATCTTGTTGTCGGAATACACTAATTTGCTTATTCACCTACATCTTTTCTGTTACATACTATTACATAATATCTTGTGGTGTTTTAAAAACTGTGAGTTAAAACACCTAAGTAAGGTGAGTAAAAACCAGGCCCACAGCATTATAGATCCTCTACCATTCCTGATAGTTAACATTAGGTTTACGTGCTGGCAGCCCATAGATCTAATCAGCATCTAATTATTGTCACAGAAGCTTTGTGACCCCATTATGGTATTATTTGCTCTAGTGTAATAGCATGTTTTGGAGATTTTTTTCTTTTTAATCCCACTTGTCCTCCTCAGTGTGCATCATGGCAAATTAAACTAGACTGCTTGTGCAGCCTTGTTAGTCAGTTACTGTCACAGGCAGGTAGGATAAATTTGGAAATAAAGTTGCAATGTATTACACAATAAAATATAAGAAAATGACAGATGGAGCGTAGGATAGCAAAACTGTAAAATGTGTTTTGCAACAGTAGGATCTGACAATGAAGGAATGATAATCAGGAGCTTAAATTGAAAGAAAGGTGATTACCTGGACAATTACAGTGATGTAGCACAGTTAGTTAATGTTTGTGTTGCAGTTTCTCAAGATAATGTTTGGATTTGCTCTCAAATAACAATTATTTGCATTCAGTTTATTTAGAATAAATGCACATAAACCACGTTAATATGTTATTTAAGTTATTTAATTTTGTACTCAACTATAACTTTGTGAAATTGTGTCTGAGGTTTGAACAGAATAATTCAAAGGCAAAAGCAAAAAACACCTACCTTCACAAGAAACTCAGTTACTGGAGAAAACGAGTCCATTTCCCTTAAATGGAGAGTAAACAAACCTTTTGCCAGCAAAGCAATATAAGAGATTAACTGTCAGAGCATTCTGATTAATATTTCATCAGCAACTGTCAATGTAAATTTGCAAAAATAAGATAAAACACGGGACTGTCCACACAGACCAGGATTTATTCTGGCAAATCATTAACTTTCTTTTATTATTTGTGGCAGTTTTTATCTGCAAACCCAAAAATCTCTGTTTTTATCAGCTGCTTGGCAGCAGTGGGTGTCCAGCTGCGCCCACCGGTGGATCTGAAAAGGCCAGCTGGATAATGGCCTGACTGATCGACACTGGACATGTGCAAAGCAAGCCCACCTGATGGCGCACACTAAATGGCGTGATTAAAACCACAAGGGAACACAAGGTGGAAACAAAACAAAATAGAGAAACGCAGGGATTGTTGGAACAATGAACAACAAACAGAACACAGACAAAACTAAACCCAAAATTACAGAACTTTGTATTTATTTATCTGGCTGTATCTAACTCCAGTAACCCGTGACATGGCATGTTTAGTGAATTTGGTCTGTGATTTTTGTGTCGGTATTCCTAGATGTAAAGTTTCTCAGTTTTTTTTTTAGTGGTTGGTTTAAGAATTGATATTTTGTTTAACAAAACACTTGTTGACTTTGTGAGTTCCCTCAGGAATTTCAAGCTTGACTAACTCATTTCAGTTCTCCTTCATAGGTTTGCTATGTCTTTTTACACATTACAACCTTATTCATACATTCATACCCTGCTGATTTAGTGGACTTTCACACTTCATACTTTGTTCATCTAAATTAACTAAGAAATCACAGTTCTAATTGTACAGTGCTTACACACATTGTGTGTCTTGCTTTTTGTTATGACCTTTGAGTCGGGTCATAACATTTTTTCTTAGAGGAAATGTGACACCATAATTACAGCTGCACCTTCATCTTTCAGAGATTGAGGGGATGAACTAAAGAGATGGATTCGATTTCATCCCCTGGCATATTTAGCTACTTTTTGAACTTCTCTATTACAGTCGAAGAACTTATAAATATAATTGTTTTAAACTTGAGCTGTTGACTTCTATGCTTTTAAATTGCTAAGACAACATTTAGAAACTAAGATAACTGGAACCACTGACTTACTGCCAATCAGAATATGACCTGCTATTTTTGAAATCTAAAATAGTTCCTGATCAGCTCTCAGCTGTTGTTGATCCTTTTCAGAAGACTTTTGGATATAGTTGTGTTAGTTGTGTGTGGATGCAGTAGATTTGGACAGCTTAAATAAAATTGTGCGTACATTTCATAATAACTGTAGATTCCTCTTCTTTTTTTATTTCCTATAGGATAAATAATGCACAGAGTGACAATTAACTGTTATGCACCAGTGACATTTTAGAAATGTTGGACAACTTGGGCATCATCTTTGTAAACTGCCAAGTAAATACTGCCTCAGTTTAAGAAACATTGTCTCATCAAGACAGTCTTTCAGATCAGTTAAAGGAAAGCTTTCAGCAGCCAGTATACCTCAAGGCCATGCACTTACATTTCTCAAAAGGGCACACGTCAGGCTGGATTATTTTCCCATTACGCCTCATTTCAACCAGTTTGGTTTTGGCAAATTAAATGTTGAGCCCTCTTATTTATTTATATATATTTTTATTTATTTCACTCTCCAGGTTTGGTGAGATCATCACTGGGAGTCTATTTTTGGGATAAGTGGCTGCTCTTGGCTTGGAAAAGCTCATTCACAGCACTGGGTGGCGCTTGTTTGAAACACCAGAGGGCGCTGTTTCCCCCCATAGATCAGATTCAGTGAATGGGAAAGAAAAGAGAAAACATCAAGCAGACATGAGTGAAAGAAAAAACATAGACATTATTTATTATTTATAATTATATTTCATATTACTACTTAAAAAGGTGTAACTGAAACCAAAACCGCTTTTGAATCATAGTTGCCTTTAAAGTATAAGATCAACATTTTATTGAGACAGTCAAGAAGTAGACAATATGTTTTATGATTAGTGGATTCTTTGATTAATAGCAGGAACAAACACATCATTATTTCCCAAAGAAATGCTAGTATGTTTCCTGTTTTGTCCTCATCTGGTATTTTTCTTTCTAATCTGTTTTGCTGCTGCTGCAATGAAAGAATTATGTGCAAATTCTTCACATACATTCTCCTTTTTCATTTCTGTCTATTAAAAAGCACTGCTTAGGTGCTTTAACTGACTGTCTGAGCAGTGACTGTATATCTGACACAGCAGGGGTTTCCAGACATAATACATCTTGATTAGTTTGAGTCCTCACCAAGACTCAAAAGCTGGGAAAGAAATGTGTTTATTATTATTCTCCATTACAATGACTTACATTTGCTGCTTTGATTTGATGGCGTGACACTTTTTTGGATACATCTCTTCAATTGATGGTTAACCCAAATAGCCAAAATCAACCAACTCTACGTTTAGACGTTCAGTCTTCTTGCACATATTCCGTCTGAAACCAGAATAAAGGGGATTTGAACTTAACACTGTTTAAACCCCCCTTGACTGATCGGAGGATTTCAGATAGTGTTGATCCACTTAATTTTCACACAAAAACATTTGTGAGGTTTACGCAAAACAGTCTGAAAAAGAGACAGTATCCAGTTGAGTGAACAAAATTCAAATTGATCTCTTGAAATCTTTTTATTTTTATTTTTTATAGTTAGAAATTCTTTCTTTTGCAACTTATGTGATTGTATTAAGTGGTAAAGCGGTCATAGACACAGGTGGGTCACATGTAAAATACAAATTTTTTATTCTGTGACAAAGAATTTTACAGTACATCTGCATTGATTTACGTTTAATAATATCAAGGATCTTAAGAGATAGTAAAAACATATTTGCATTGATGAACAAATGAGCATTTTTGGTCTTTCGGAGTCTCTTGATCACACCGTAAGCCTATCTTTGCCTTTGTGTGAAACATCAATGCATACAATATTACATCAGTAACCAAAAGATAATAAAAACCGGAGGTCACGGTACAAAAACAGCACAAAAACAAAAAATGGCTGAAAACAAAGCAAACAATTATTTTTCTAAACAAGTCGCATGGCAGCAGTTAAGGGCTGAAAGCCTTTGACCTACTTATCCGATTTGTAGGGTTTGCAGTGATTGAAGTCTCACTATCAGGTTATTTCTCCATGAAGATTTTCTAAATCCCGCTTTGCTTGAACCTGCAGCTTGTTGCACAGCAGCTCCCCCCTTCCCCAAACTCCGCACCTCCACCCTCTTTCCTCTCTCCACCTCCTACTCCTCCTCCTAGTTCCCCTCTGCTGTCTCTTTAGCG